GTAGGTCAGCACCTCGCCCGTATTTTTCACGCGAACTCCGCGAAGGCGGCCTCGAGCTCCGCGGCGCGCTTCGCGTTGTAGCCCACGTAGAGGGGCCGCGGCGCCGCGCCCATGAGCGTCCGCGTCGCCGCCGCGAGCTCCGCGACGCCGACGTTCGCGAACGGCGGGTCGAGAAAGAGCGCGTCGAACGCGTAGTCCACGGGCTCCGGCGCTCTTAAATCGAACGCGCGGAACTTGAGGCTCGCGAAGCGCTCGTCGCGGTCGAGGAGCAGGTAGTCGCCGCCGGCCGCGTCGCGCCGCGCGGCGAGCGACGGGTTGCACACGAGGAGCGGCGTCTCGTAGCCGTCGACGAGCGCGAGCATGCGGCGCGACGTGGGCTCGTCGTAGAAGAACTGCTCGTGGCGGTGGTCCTCCTCGATTTGCGTGGCGCCGAGCGTGACGGCGGCTGGAATTAGGTCCGTCGCGCGGCCGGCGCGGCGGATTTTGGCCGCGGCCTCGGCGGCCTTTTTTCGCTGCCAGGCCTCCTCGCGGTCGACCTTTTTCGCGCGCTTGCCGTGCAGCGCGAGCGTCTGTGGTCGTCGTCGCGTCGACGACGGCTGGAACGCGTGCGTTGCGAGTGCGAGGAGCACTATTGCGCGCATCAGGTTTTGCCACTCCACCATCGCGCTTCGCCTACTGCACACCGTAACCTGTCGCAGTGACAGCCCGCCGGCGCGGCGCGCAGCGCTGTGCGCGCCCCCTCCGGTCCGACCACCGCTTCCGGCTCGGTCCTCTGGTCGGTAGGGTGGCGCGCACCGCTTCTTTCGCTGCGCGACGAGGACTTTCGCGCGCCAACCGGGCGCCGCAAAACGGTCGTCGGAGGCGGTTCAGAGCACCCACCCGTGCGACGTGTCCTAGGCCGCGCGGCGGCCCGCCAGGCGCGCGCGCGGGACCCTCCCGGTGCTGTGGGACCTGCGTCGCGCGGGGATCGCTGCGGCTGGCCGTGGTTCGTCGGCGCGCGCGGCTCGGAAACGGTGCGCGGCGCGACGCCGAGCGGCTGGGCCGGGACCACATCCGAGGCGCCGCTGGGCGCGGCGTGCAAATCAGAGGGTCGCCCATCGATACAGTCGACGCTCCGCGCCCAAACTCCGGCGCGCGTGGTCCCAGAGGTTCTGGATGCCCTCGACGCTGGATTTCCCGCCACCGAGCGACCTGTTCGGCGCGGCCACGGGCGGCGCCGTTGGCTCCGAAGTACCCCGAGATTTCATCGTTGCGCGCGTTGGAACACTACTCGACGACGGACAAGCGCTGACGGCTTGCGGGCGCCGCCGACGGGCGGAGCATTCACCGATTCGGCTCGTGTGGAGACGTCGTCGGTCTACGGCGGGCTCTACGGGCCCACGACGAGCGACGGCGGCGGCGGCGACGGCGGCGGCGGGCGCCCCCGGACCCACGCCGACGGCGGCGACGCGCGGGTCGCCGGCGGCGACGCCCCGCGGCTCGCCCGGCGGCCCTCGCGGGACCCCCTATAGGACATAGAGGGCGTTGTAGTCTTAGGACTCTTCTTCGCCCTGAGCCACGCCAAGCGCGTCAGGTGCGCGGCATCCTTTTCCTCGCGCTTCGTTTTCTTCGGCGGCGTCGACAAAAACGGCCTGCTCTGGAACAACATAGGCGTGGCATCGCTCTACGGTCGGCACGGCGAAGAAGCTCCTC